ACCTGTCCACAGGTGTCCACACCTGTCCACAGGTGTCCACACCTGTCCACAGGTGTCCACACCTGTCCAAAGGTGTCCACAGGTGTCCACAGGTGTCCACACCTGTCCACAGGTGTCCACAGGTGTCCACACCTGTCCACACCTGTCCACAGGTGTCCAGACACAGTAAACAGGATGAATTTACATTTCCTCCTTACAAACTCTAAACTTGTCCCACAACTTTTTGTTTCACAACAAACACAAAGAGAAAATGACACAAAGAAAAATAAAATATGTTTTTCTGCTGAACTTCCTCATAAGTTCAGATATTTCTCCAAACAAGAAAAGAAAATGTTAAATAATTGAGATAAATTATAAAAATATAAATTATATTTTCAGCCAAAATGATTTGATGCTGAGTGACTGCTGAAATGGTACAAGACAAACTGATTTGTTAAAACTAAAGAGGCTGAACATTAGATTAAAGCCACAAGTATCTAACCACTAGCTAAAAGTATCAAATGACTAAGTATGGGATAAGTTTATGTAAATAATAAAAGTAACAAGAGGCTAGTTAGATGCTAAAAGTAGCAAAACATTTGAAATAACCTAAAAGCAGTAAAAGGCTAGTTTTAACTTAAAAGTATGGAATCAGGTAAAATGATAGATAAAAAGAGAAAAACGCGTAGCTAAAAGATAAAATAANCAACACCACACACTGCTCAACAACACCACACACTGCAGCTCAACAACACCACACACTGCAGTTAAAAGATGAGCAGAGAGACGTTCACACACCATCTCTGACACCACACAACATGGATGCTCACAGCTGTGAGATACGTTGTGTTTCTGATGGTTGTTAGTCTGACCTGACAGTGTTACTCTAACACTAATCATCGTTACACAACAGGATTTATCCTGTAAAACATGTTCACTTTGAAGCAAAAATAAAACTGTTTTGTTTCAAAGAATTGTGAAAAAAGGACTAACACACCTGTCCACACCTGTCCAAAGGTGTCCACAGGTGTCCACAGGTGTCCACACCTGTCCACAGGTGTCCACAGGTGTCCACACCTGTCCAAAGGTGTCCACAGGTGTCCACACCTGTCCACAGGTGTCCACAGGTGTCCACAGGTGTCCACACCTGTCCACAGGTGTCCACAGGTGTCCACACCTGTCCACAGGTGTCCACACCTGTCCAAAGGTGTCCACACCTGTCCA